TGTTGTACACCTTAAACTTACACAACGTTATATGTCAATTATACCTCAATAAAGCTTGGGGAGAGTTAAAAAATGTTCTTTTATTATAATTTTAAATTACTGAAGAGTGCTCTTCTCCAATCACCAAAGGCACAAGCAAGGCAGGACAATGGTCCCAGAGGGCAGTTTTCAAACTGTACTACAAATAAAAGTCCTTCATTTCTAGAAAGTTCCTTCATGAATCGCTGGGTGGTGTGTGTGGGATAAAGGTGGGAGAGGATCAATTCCATTTTTATTTGCTTTACTTATTGTGCTGCCTCCATGATTTCATCTAAAAAGAAAAAAAGTTCCTACGCGTGGTGGAACGGCTTCAGACTAACCAATATCACTGTTAGGAAATAATCAAACTTATGACAACAGTGCGCTCAAGCAGCTGAAGGCGGACACAGCTGTGGCCAATACTCCAAAAAGCATGGTGAGCTTCTAATGTAGAACCAGTTAAAACTCTGGGATTCCAAACTGCTGACTGAACTTTCCGGATCATTCAGAAAGTCATTTTGAACATTCGTTTTATTCCGGGGATGAAAAGACCTAGGAATAAGCATCATCGTAAAACCTACATGTTTCTTCCATTAGTGAAATTTAATAAAGAGCGTCAAGACAGGAATAAAGAGTCCAGGAACACGTCAATCTGAATTTTCTCACTTTTTCCTCTGAGGAAACTATATCCTCTAAAACTTCATCACATACGGTTCTCAACGTATATGGCGAAGGAAGGCATATCTGATCATCAGCTTAGCGCTGTATCTAAGCGGGAGGAAAACCACAGCACAAACTCAACCCACGAGAAAATGCATCCTGTCTGCAGGAAGCAGATATAGAAAGCTAATCAAACTAACCAAAAAGAAATGTATCCGATATTTTTCATTTTAAAAATTGGTAATTTATACTTTTTATTAATATGCAGATAGTAGTTGTAATAAGCGATATTTATATGGTACTTAGAAGTTTCCTAAATATGCTTCCACATACAATATCACATTTACTTGCCACGGTTACTCTGTTGGGTTTTTTTGTTTGTTTGTTTTTAGGAAGATCGGCCCTGAGCTAACATCCATGCCCATCTTCCTCTACTTTAGATGTGGGACACCTGCCACAGCATGGCTTGCCAAGCAGTGCATAGGTCCACAGCCGGGATCCAGACTGGTGAACTCTGGGCCGCCAAGGCAGAGTGCGAAAACTTAACCACTACGCCACGAGTCCAGCCCCGACCCTTTTGGTATTTTTAATACTCAAGTAACAGACAAGGACTGAGGCTCTAAAAACCATTGTAACTTTTCAAGATCAAACAATGAAGACATTCTTTGCTTTAAAAGGTATTTATTCGACACTGGGAATATGTTTTTAGAAGTATAGGAAAGTAAGTAGTGCAATGAGCTTCTGTAATAATAACAGTGCATAGCAGTACAGCACATTACAAATTACACCTTAACGTGTTCTTTCAAAAGCAGTTTCTCCTCGGGGCCAGCCCAGTGGTGTGGTGGTTAAGCTCGCACGTTCTGCTTCAGCTGCCCGGGGTTCACTGGTTCAGATCCTGGGTGCAGATATGGCACCGCTTGGCACGCCATGCTGTGGCAGGTGTCCCACATATAACATAGAGGAAGATGGGCACAGATGTTAGCTCAGGGCCAGTCTTCCTCAACAAAAAGAGGAGGATTGGCAGCAGATGTTAGCTCATTTACCAATACAGTAAAATACCAGGGTATATATCACTATTTTCATTTTAAAGGCCTAGAGATTGAGGCTTAGAAATAATTAATGACCTCAGTATGATCTCACTGACTCCAAGACTAATTCCCTAAGCCGTGCTTCTTGCAATTGAAAATTGAAGGGACACAATTTTGGCTGGTGACCAATATAATGGGAAATTATATGACCTGCATACATTATGTAATTAAGATGGAATAATTGACTGTTTTCAAATTAAATGAATTCTCCTCCTCCACCAACGGGTAGTGTCACACTCCATGAAAGGAGGGAATTACACAAATCTACAGCATTTAACTCTGTGGTGTGTTGGGGAGGGGGCTTGTTTGTTTCATTTGTTTGCTCTGTTTTCTTTAAGACATGCTGAAGATGGGCCAGCAATCTTTTGAAAACATCAACTAGGCAAGATTAAGCAATCAGATTAGTCTTATATATAACACTGGAAAAATGTCTTAGGGAAGTGAAAGTCTTTCCAAAAGCAAAATTCACCAAATAAAACACTGGAAAATGTAATTCAATCAAGAAATAATATTTTTTTCAATTTGGATTTATGTCATTGCTTTAATAGGTAGTGTAATAGTTTCCAAATGCCAATGTGTATTCATGAACACTTTGCAAGTTCATGATGTAATACATTCCTTTTTGGATACATCTGTTGTCGAATCCATCTGTCTATGGCAGATCTGCTTAGTTTTACAGAACCTTATCTGCAAAAGAACTTCCACAGTCATACCAAAAATGACTTTAGAAAATAAAGAAGAGTTGAGAGAAGAAAGATCAGCTATTGTTGCCTGGGAGATATTCCCTTTTCCCACAATGTCTTGCCCACAGCTCTGTTCACTGGGCACCTGGCACCCCTCTACTCTTTTTTCTTAATATCTTCCCCTTTCGCAAGAAAGAAATGGGACTCTTGCATCTCAGGGAGAACTGGAGAGATAAGGTCCTAGAGGAAGTACCAATACAGGATGTCAATATTCCTTCCCACCAGAATTTCCCCAAGCCATGCTTCTAAACACCTTCTGAATTGTATGGGCAGCTTACTAACGTTTGATAATTAAGTATAAGTCATTTTTATTGGGTTCATCTCAGTAAGAGCCCAAGCAAATTAATATAAAGAATGAAAGCAAGAAAACATGGAAAGGAATAGGATTGCTACATCAAGAAAGCTACACTGACCCTACGACAAGAAGAGGAGTCAGGTTAGAAGTCTGAAGCTAGTTCAAGTAAAGCAGCTTCCGCTCTCACCACTTCTTACTCTAGATGGGCCCTGACCCGCCTTGAAGGCTACGATTATATTTCTTCTATAAATGCACTACTTTCTTCTGCCAATACAGTCAGGAATGCAGAACAATGAATGAGTCAACTATTACTATGAGTGTCTATGGCTACAGAAACTCAATAAATGAACTTAATATTCTATCTCAATAAAGAAATTCATATGATTTCTTCATAAAGTAAATGTGTTTCTAAAAATACTAGAATTACATTTCTTTAAAGCTATCTATTTCACATACATTTGGTTGATACAGAAAAGGATTCTATATTGATTATTTTTCTTTCCTTTTATGAACCTCATCCATTGGGTGACCTAAAAAGGGGCATATTTCAGAAAGTGAAAATATTTTTAACAGCAAATCTTTGCATTTCTAGTCTGATCTAAACATAAAATTTTGCAAAAACACAACTAATATTTTTCTCCTACTGGCTAAATCATGTCAGTCACTTAAATAGTTACAACCAAAAATAAACTGCTCTTGAGTACATAACATTTTTATAGGAATTGGCAAGTAATTACTATAACTATTAGATGTTTATATTTGCTATGGGAACCCATGATTTAAAAAAACTGTTTAAATGTTTTATCCTTGAGGCTTATACATAGCACAAATATATACATTTGTACCCGTAAGTCAAAAGAGGAAAAATTAGACAAAAAGCAAACTGGAAAACAACCCAAAATTATAAGAAATTACCTATGTGCTGTACTGAGAAAAAGTATAAAAATTATTTGAGAGGAAGAAAAGTTATTTCTAAGCACTAACTTCACAGGCAAAAGCCCTATTTTTTAATGATAGGCTAGGAGAAATCAATAATGTTTTAAAAGTAAAAAATGAACTGCTTACACTAACCAGTCTGTACTCCGTATTAATTCTATCCTGCAGAGTATACTACAGAAGGTAGTAAAATGCTGATGTTTTCTAGTTTCTCATTTCAATCTGCTCCAGCTTTATCTTAAAGCTTGTTAGCAACAGAAGTCACCCCTAACAATTACACAAACCTAACAACGGCTTCCCTGGGATAATTTGATCTGCTCCAACCACAAATTCCAATCCACATACTTTCTTCTGTTACGGTTGCGTCTGTGTGTGTTTAATGTACTTCTTATAAGGCTTTTTAAAAAACAAACAGTGATTTCTCATTCAGCTCTCTCCCACATAAACAGAACCACTAAGGAGCATTTTGATACATATAAAAATTTTCTAGTTATCTATAGAACACGTCTTAGTTCGGTTTCAGATGACAGTGAAGGAAAGTACTATTGTCATCATTCTACATTTCTCCTTTTTCTGCTCTCTAACAGCTGCGTGCCAGTGTCCCAAAAGGACTGCTTATCATTTACTGCTCCCTTGAGTTGTGGACGGTGGGGGTGGGAAATCTTGAAACGTGCAGACCCAGGTGCTGTCTCAGTCATCGCCTTGATACCAGCAGCCTGGTTTAACCCGCTCACGTTGGACCTTTATCACTTCCCTGACCCGATAAAGCAAACAGGGCTAGCAAACGCACTGAACATCCTCCTTCAAAATGCAGCTTGACTGTGATTCATGGCAAAAAGCTGGAATAATCCTGCCAGGTCTTAGAAGCTTTAAGATTAATAGCATTGAACTTGATACATATAAAACAGCACCTTGAAAATGAATCATCTGCTAATTCAGTATTTTCTAATCACAATCACTCCCTCTGGGGGCATGTAATTAATTTACTGAGTTTAAAAAAAAAGTCAGGATTACTCACACAGTCTTGAAGATGCAATGTCAGCTATTTAGGACAAACACCCAAGGCCGTGTTAGAACTCAATTACGACTACATATGCGTTAAAGCAGGAACTGGCAGGCCTCTGGACTACAGCAACTATAGGACTCGTGCTTCTCGTACGCTGGGCTATAATTTATGAAAACTGAGCCCCAGATCCAGCCAATCATTTAGCTCCTCATAACAAGTCTAACTGGCTCTGGAAAGCTGAAAGGACTGCGCTAGAACAACAACGATGAGATATTCCACACAATAATCTGCTTATCTGGAGTCACTTTCCCTTGCCAGGCCAGAGAGAAATCGCAGCTTCATCGTCTGAGGAAAGGAGGACAGATGACCCTGGAAAACGCAACGACACCTGGAGCAAGAGCTTTTCCTGGCTTGGCAATCCTAACAGTGCCGGCATTAAAGGAGAGGGCTGCCCCTGGAAACCGAAGGGCAGCTACAGCAGTGAAAACCGGAGGTAATTCTCATCTTTTTATTTTTAGCAGGAGTCACGCCGAGGCAAAATTATATACATTAAGTCGCTCAGGCAACTAGTATGCTTCCATCTGCTTTTACCTTTTTCCACTCTAATCTTTTGTAGGATCATTTGTTATTAAGTATGAGGGGAGGGCGGCTGAAGGTACTTGAAATAAACCTGAAACCACAATGATCCTTTGTGGAGGAAGAGAGATCATTTTCCAGAGCAGTTTTAGAGCCACGTTTTCAGATGGGCAGCCTTTTCATTCACGCCCAGAAACAAGAATAACGGGGGCTGAGGCAGGGAGGGGAGAAAAGGAGTCTCACGAGCACCGTTAAACACTTTTCATGTCTTAAAGGAAACAGCAATGCTCAGAGAGCAAATTGGGAAGAGAGGTTATTGTCCAGCTCCTCTGGCCCTTGGCACCTAGGCCACAGAAGAATGTGCCAGAATATACCATGCTGGGGTCATTGTGGCAGAGAAGGACATAGGAGTCAACAGAGCCCCCGTGGCACAAGTTTTTCTTGTTTTCTGTGCAATTTTTTTCCTTATTCCCCGTTACATTTTGAAGTGTTAAGTTATATCAACTATTTGTTATACTATACTTCTAGGTTTGCAGTTATTAAAGGATCTGTGGAAAACATTTTTAAGTCAAAAGAGGTGGCTAAAATAGGAAAGCAAAACAAAATGGAATTGACATACTCATAACCCTAACGCCACACCCTTGGACACTTGATGTACTTTACCTAATGACAAATCCTGCCAAATCTTCAGCAAATAGTGTGTTTCTTCAACAAATTTTGTTATGAGTGTAACATTAGCAACAAAAAATGTTTGTAATAAACTTTGAATAACTAAATCAATTATAATGCTTTCGACGTGACAAGAGAACCTTCGAAATATTCAAATCGTGTCAGTTTTATGTGCTCCCAAAGGGAAAAGCTGGGAAGAGAAAATTGCTTTGATTAGTGATGAAATATAAACAATAGTAACAGAAGAGGCATTTATGCACTTTTTGTTTGCTGTAGATAATTGAATTCAACTTGAGATTTGACACTAAGAAGAAAAATATGGCGATACACAGAGAACAGAAAAAGTAATCCATTGGCAGTTCCCCACAAGGTTTGCTCTTGAATTGTCCAATTTTTGACTAGCCAGGAAAGACTGTTTCTCCTCTGTTTAAATATTTTCATTTAATTAAACATTTGTTTATTTGACAGTGCTGCTGCCTACAGTGACTATGTGAGAACCGAACCTTCTGAGGAAGCCAGGTTATTAAAATTTTTGTTCCCTTTACTCAAAGATAGCATGGATTCTCTAGTCTGAAATGGAAAGCAAGCTCTTAAGGTAATATTGTCACTGAATCCTCAACACACAGAACTTCCTGTTTCCCATTCCCTTAATAAAATTCTATTAAAATCCCTTGAACTCCCATGTTCAAATCTCCATTTGTCAACAGACAAAGGCAAGAATACTTCAAACTGAGGCCTCTAAGCCATTTCACTGGTATTCTTGTCCAGAAATTTCCCCTAGGAAGACTTCACTTCCAACAACTTTGAAGACAACCATCTCACCACCCAAGGCAATGATCCACAAGCATCCACCAAGTCTTTGAGTTAAAAGCTTTCATGCCTTCTGTCCATTCTCTGTGTCAACATATAGCTAAGTTACACACTGACCCTTGGCCCCCTGACCCTTACAAACACTAAAGGTTTTGTTTGACTCAACTTCAAGCTATTCATCTGTTAGTAAGTAATGTTGATCCCAAAACATATTCATGATGAGAGTTTTCTGAAAGATCAGCACTGCCTCCGCCTCCTATAATCATAATAATTGTGATCACTTGAGACATATTACTGCTCCTTGGCAATTTTAGGGGGATTTAGATATTTACTACCCAGAGCTGTCACATAGCACGGAAAATCTTACACTGAAACAAAGGAAGTGATGTCTCAGTATGATACAACTTGAGCCAATTATGCTGTTTACATTTGTTTTCTTTACCCTAGAAAATAAGGCAGTGGAGGGGGAAACTGAAAAATGATACTACTGAGGCCGGCCCAGCGGTGTAGCAGTTAAGTTTACGTGCTCCACTTTGGCGGCCCGGGGTTCGCCAGTTCAGATCCCAGCCGTGGACCTACACACCACTTATCAAGCCATGCAGTGGCAGGCGTCCCACATATAAGATAGAGGAAGATGGGCACAGGTGTTAGCTCAGGGCCAGTCTTCCTCAGCAAAAAGAGGAGGATTGGGGTGGATGTTAGCTCAGGGCTAATCTTCCTCAAAAAAAAAATTATACTGCCAATACTGTCATCTTCTTTTGCCTGAAATTGTTATACAATGTGTTAGAGTCTGCTTCTAGCAGGCATCATCATCAGCTCTTCAGGGTATTAGCAGGTTCTGGCTACAGATACTATCTCCTGTCATCACTATCAGTTAATATTTGCTGGCAATTGCAATAGGCACTAAGAAGCTCATGGTATACAAGGGTCACTCATACAGTGGAATTCAGTTCTTACTCATTTCTTTGATCTCAATCTCACAGACAAGAATTAAGTTGATCCCGATAAAAGGAAAGTAGCTCAGGAATGCCAACCTTTTTCTGAACTTTGGTTCAGAACTGTCAGCAAATCTCAAGTATCAAAGCAGCTACAGGTGACTGAAAAGTGTCCCAAAATCTGGGCCAAGCATGATTTCTAGGCCCATAACCTAATTTGTCTGGCCCTGCAGTTTATGTAGTCGAAGGGGTCACTCATGAGAAAACTATCAGAAACCTTCAGACTCACCACATCAGTGTCAAACCAGTTAAGATTGGCAGGGTATTCACTCTGTTCCAGGTGATCTGGATAAATTGCCCCATTGTTTTCACAATGCTGGACTCCGCCTAAAGAAACCCTAGACCTCAGGACCAGTTTGCTGGTAAAGACCTGCTGACAGTTTAAATGCAGCATCACATGATGTAAACGGAAAGAGAAATAGCTGCTTAGAAAAATGTCAGCGAGAAAGCCTGCCTCATGTTAACAAAGCCAAAAAAACTTTTTCATTTACATAAAAAGGCATGGGTACTAGAGACGTGAGTCTGTGGTCCTCGTAGGGATCAAGCTTACGTTCTTGGTTCAGATAACAAAACACTTTATCTCGGTACGTAGACCTCAAATTCATGTGCTGTTGGCACATAAGGGGAATTTGGTTAGTGGTTTTTGTTGTTTTTTTTAATTCAGTCTCTCCTAAACATATAATGTACAGAAACATACTAATAATGCATGTGACAAGTTTCTAAAACATATTACACTTAACATTGACACAAACCAACATCCTTCTGCACTCATATGTCATCAAAATTCTTCTTCTAGGTAATGAGATCTGAATGGAAGTGTCCATTGTTCTGTGACCTTATTCTTTGTCGAAGTTTTTCAAAAGCCATTCAACCTGACAGATACAAAAACTGGCAATTACATTTAGTCAAAGAAAGATTGGGGGTGCACTCTTAATGTTTGGTGCTAATGCCACTTGTTCGCTTCAAGCAATGTATAAGCATTATAACATGGAGACTGAGAGCATAGACTCCGAGCCGGACTGCCTGGGTTCAAATCCCAGCTCTGACTCTTAACTGCAGACCTCACAAGTTACTTAGCTCTATGCCTCAGTTTCCTCATATGTAAAAAGGTGTCACATACAGTAACTAGCTCCCGGGGCTGGTGTGAAAAGCAAATGGGGAATACACGCTTAGACCTGAGTCTACCACCTGGTGAGTAATCATTAAGAAAAAACTGTCATTTTTGTTCTTATTATTAGGTTCATTGCAATAAATGTGCTACACAATATCCAACATGGAGGTGAATTACCATACAGCCAGATATGGTGAAATATACCTACTAACATCACATGTCTCATTTCAGGGAATGTTTATAAGTAAGATTTTGTCTTAAGGCCTCTGAGATAACAGCTCAAGGAGGTGTGTCAGTCACTCTTAACTGTCAGGTCTCTGCCAGGTATCACTTGCCACTTTCACTCTGCCCTGCATTTAATGTGTCACGCAAGGATGCTAACCTAGGACATGGCACGGAAAGGGGTAATTGTAGCAGGCATGAGTCACATGACAGTTGGTACAAAGTTCAGGCTAAAGACTCCTGCATGAAGGCAAAAATATAATGGAAGCCATTAATCTTCAGTCATGGTACCCTAACCAAAAAAGATTTGAAGGGGAGAGAAAAAGAGAGCTACCTATCATGAACAGCTGTGCTGGTTATCCAAATACGTGAACCATGTCTAGAATTCACGCTGACTTCTCAGCTTAAATGTGAGAGAACGTCGAAGCTATTTATCTCCTTTCCTCCCCTTGATGGGAATTTCTCAGAGAGAAGGTGCAGAGAACAAAACAGAGTCTGCTTGGGGAGGGAACAGCACCCTAGGAAAGAACTATGGACTTCTATCCCAATCATTCATTCATCTGTTCATTCATTCACTCATGAGTGACCTTGCCCCCTGTCTCCCTCCACTCCCACACACACTGCCACCAGCCACATCTAACTGCTCACAGTTCCTGAGGGGGCCCACGCTCTCTCACACAGCCGTGCTTCTTGCTTCCTCCCCCTAGTCTGCATGGCCTTCCCTAGTGCCCACCATTAAGCCCAAGGAGAATTCTCTCCTTCACAGCGTACCCCTTTCTAGTCACCCTCTCTCCATGGAAGGTGGTTATTCCCCGCTGGGCAAATTAGTGACTCAGTACCACTCACCACATGAAGTAGCACCAAAGGACAAATAGCCAGTGGGAAAACTGGGGGACATTTCCCATTTAGCAAAAAATGCTTTAAAAATGAAATTTGGGGCACTTTCTGCAAGATCCAAAATGAAATTAAATGATAGGGCTTAATAATCCCGCAGACAGACTTTGCTAGACTTAGAGAATCACCTCTGGTCGTTCTCAACAAGTTGATAGAGAAATGCAAGGAAGCTCACCATGGTTGCCTGAAATGATGGTATATGTGAAAGCTTTGTATGGGGCCTGGCCGGGAGCCGAATGACCTCAGTCTCATTATTCTAATTATCCTGCTCCTGGCTGAGGAGGGCAAAGGGAAGGGGGTCTCAGATTCAGAGGTGGGAGATTATCTCCCTCTTCCCTGTCTGCAGGTTCAGCTACAGAGTCAGACATGAAGTCCCTCTCCCAGGCCCACCTGTGCCACTGAGGCCTGGGCAACTGTGGCGTCACTGCAGTCCAGGCCTAAGACTGAGGAGACAGTCACTCAGTGCTGGACGTTCACCAGGAGGATGGAAGGGGCTGGAGAATTTTAGAAAATAGTATACTGGAGAGTGACCTTTAGAATTGTACACAGGTCCAGTTTCTCTTTAGCCCCCCTCCCACTTCACCTCTGCCTCCCTCCCCATCCCCGCCCCAAATAGTTTCCATACGCTCCCCAGCTTCTTCCACTTAAGTGGCCCACAGAGGGGCCTGTCCTCTCCTCCCATTAAATGAGTCCTTTTGTGTGTCATCCTCAGGGCAGCCAGGTTAAACCAGTCTGTGCCAATATGATTAAATGTTCCTGTTATCTTCCAAGCGGCACTTCATTTTAATAGAGGCTTTCTAGAAATAAAGCTGAGAACCAAAGAAATAACCACTTTGAACAATTCAGGCCGCTTGGAGCATGACAGCAAAGACACACAGAAGGCAGGCAGGGTTTTCTGGGCCTGGGAACCAGACCAGCACATAAGCCACCTTCTCCTATCGGGAGTGGGTCAGCCCTACACGCATACCCTGGGCCAAGGAGAATGCCAAGTTTTCACTCCTCCATGCAAAGCCACCACATATGGTTGAGCAGTGCACAACCTGTATGACCACTCATAACAGTCCTGCCTCTATGATCCCTGAGTCTTCCCTCTCTGTAGCCAGAGCATAGGCCACCGTGGATCAAGAAAAGCTTTCACACTTATTTAGCTCTCATACAATAGAGGTAAATACTTGGTGGCTCAAAAGCAATTTGACTGTGGAGACACATCTGTAATCACCAGCAACTAAAAGAGGCATAGCTTGCTCCATGTCTCGCAGTCCATAGGATTTTTTTTTTCTTTTTGCAGCAAGAATTTAAGCACAGAAATGAGAAGCATGAAAGGAGAGCAGACTGCACGTGAGTCCCACGTGTACTATAAAACAATGCAGCAGGGGCCAGCCCGGTGGCACAGTGGTTAAGTTCCCACATTCCACTTCTCGGCGGCCCGGGGTTCACCGGTTCGGATCCCGGCTGCGGATATTACACTGCTTGGCAAAAGCCATACTGTGGTAGGCGTCCCGTGTATAAAGCAGAGGAAGATGGGCACGGATGTTAGCTCAGGGCCAGTCTTCCTCAGCAAAAAGAGGAGGATTCGCAGTAGTTAGCTCAGGGCTAATCTTCCTCAAAAAAAAATTAATAAAAAATAAATAAAACAATGCAGCAGCTCTTGAACTTCAGGCACGACAGGGTTACAGAAGGTGCTCATTAAAATGGTAGATCCCTGACTCCCACCACAGGATACTCATCTGCTAGGTCTAGAATGGAGCCTGGGAATCTGCGTTTTCACTGGCACCTCTGATGCCTGTAAAGCCAGTCATCCACGGCTTCCTCACTGAGAAGCATCAAAATAGTGCATGCCAACCACATAACACAAGCCTGGCACATGACAAGCGCTCGAATACTGACTAGCTATAATTATTACGAATCATCTCAGATATTCTACTTAGGCTCGACTTTTTGCTAAGTAATAATCGTACATAGCGTGGCAGTTTGTAGCAAGCCAGGAGCTGGTTTAATGCAAGGAAAGAGAAATAAAGAGGGATACAGGACAGAGACAGTCTAATTTGTGTCCTTCTAACGCTAGCCACTAATGAAAGCACTTGACCCTAATTTCCACCCTCCATCCCACAGCATCAACACCTCTGAAAAGATAATAACGCAGGAGTATTTGAAACAATTGTCTATGGACCAGGAGTTCCCAAAGGAAAAACACTCAAAATATTGACATTTTCATTTTTCTGCCTCAGACACAGAAAGCAATGAAACGTTATTTGTTCCAGAAGACAAAGCAGGCCCCAAGTAAATAGGCAGTTTTAAAATGTTTGAGTCCACCAACTTCAGCACCATACAGGGGAATGAAATCCCCAGTGTGGCTGGCTGCTGTGCTCCTGTGAGTCTTGGCCATTTTCCTCTGCTGATGATGTGGGCCCTCCACAGGTGGTTGGAGCTAACCGTGTCGACTTACCCTTGGAATCACTCCTCACAATAAATAGGAAGGCCCTTCAGGAAATCTTCTGTTTAGTTTGCATGCTCCTGAGTATAGGACAAAGCTCTGTTGTTTAAGAGCATAAATAACAAAAGCTTTGTTCTTCCGAACCAAGAGAGACGCTGTAGATCTGTCCAAAATCACTTCGTCTTAAACTGCGTAAGGATGACAAGAATGAAATATTGTTTTAGGCTACTCAACAGCATCCGTCACTCAAGCTCCTCCCCTGGCTTCAGAAAACAATGAGTCAATATGACCTTTTTCTGACACTACCGCCTTAGGAAAATACTGCTCCACATATTTGGAACTGGGGCTCTTCCTGTATTTAAATCAATGGAAGCTATTCAAAGCCTACGTAGCTTTCTCTTTTTGAATAGTGGGCATAGGAGCGCAACGGTTTGTACTCAAATAATGAAAGTAAAATGGAAACCGTGAATGACAAAAAATCAAAGTGTTTTCTTACATCATCCCAGGTGCTCGACATGCGTTTTATTGCTAGATTCCCTCGGTAACCTCTAAGAGGTTGATATTACGATCCCTAATTTTACCAAAAGTAAGAGAGGTTAGAGAAGTTTCCCTGTGGACACAGAGTTGGTAAGTGGCCAGGCTGGAAGTCAGATAAGAAAGTAAAAAGTCATTGCCTGACTTTATCAGCAGTTGTTATTACTGTTATTCAATCTATTCTTATCCTACTGCTTAAGATTTAAATGAAAAACCTCCCATATTCCTTTTAATATAATTTTATATAAATGTGATCATTTTGTTTCATAATCTGCTTTGTATCACTAAATAATTTTCCACCTCACATATAAAGCTCTGCATTGTCATTTTTATTGACTACACAGGATTTCCTGGAAGGTATTTACTGTAATTGACTACGCCAGTCCTTTGCTAATGAACGTTGAGGTCGTTTCTAGTTTTCCCTCTGAATATGCTTTTGCAAGCATATTTTTACACTCACGTAGTTATCTCCTTAGGGTAAGTCCTACCCTGGGAATTGTTGGGCAGAGACTATACATTTTACATTTCAGTACATACCCAATGGCCCTGCAAAAGGTTGTATCAGGTAGCTGCAGGAGTGTGCCGATTTCCTCACACTCACAGGCACACCAGGCTTAACCAACCGTCTACATTCCTACCAAAATGATAGGGGTTAATGATAGTATTGTTATTTATATTTGCGTTTCTTTCATCATTAGGGAAAACAGAGTTTTTCCCTGTGTATTGGTCATTTGCAATTCTTCCAGACTTTATCTCTATCTTTTTTATGCTTTCCCATTAGGGTCTGACTCCAAAATTCATTGCAAATGCTGTCTCCTGCCTCTTGCTGCTTTCTCATTGTCAGTGCAGTGTATCAGAGACTCTGATCTGTAGCCAAGAGAACTTCAGCGACATATTGCCAGGGTGATTAGTCAAGTTCCATAAAACATGTTCCAAGAAGAAAAACTGGTTGAGTCTAAGGAATAGAACAGCCATAAACTTCTCCTCAGCTGTCTGCTTCAGAAACAGGTCATCCCCTGACTTTATCAGCAGTTGTTTATCTTATAAGAAACAATGATCCATTCAAACTTAATCTTGTCCTTTTGCACAGAGAAATTTGGATCAGAGAAGAGGGACCAAGAACTGTTTGGAGGAACATCCCCAGAACTGGGGGGTTGCCAGGGAGGGAGGACACACACACACAAACACACACACACACACAAACACAAACACAGTTCCATGCCCCCGGCAGAGGCAGACCACAGACTCATGGATTATTTGCACTGAAACCCAGGTTCGAGATGCCGTTGCTCCAAGAAAACTGAGACTCATAGACAAAGTGACGTGTCTGAAATGATAGTCCCTTGACTCCCCAAGCAGAGCCCATTCCACGAGATGACACTGGCAGGAAGTAAAGCACAGCCCAAGTTGAGTCCCCAGAGCCTAAAACACTGACTCTGCCTCTCACAGTGCCAGGAAAATGTTGAAAGGCATTATGACAAGTACCATCACCCGAGGCCCAGGAACTTGTGCACTGGACCCCAAGCTCAGCCAGCATCTTGGCTGCTAGGGCTGGGCAGGGTTCTGAGCGGCTGTGGCCAGAGGGCTACAGGGACAATATTAGGCTGCCTTCTTGTTCCTTTACTTAAGAAAGAATATAACCAAATACAGACAGCAAAACAGGGCTGATGTCCAGCTCTTATGGTATCCAGCTTTTTTTCTTACAAATATCATTTGTATAATTAGCTTAGTTTGTTCAATCTTATCTATTCAGCTTCAGCCAAATCCAAGCTCTAAGCCAAAGACAACCAAGCCTGGCCATGTAGCGATCCTATCCTTCCAGATGGGCTTCTGCCTCAGCCCAGCCCAAATGTGACCAAAATCTCTGATAGGAGAACTGGACATGGGCTACCCTCTCTCATCTCACCTGCAGAAAAATGCATGGGTCAGTGGCCAACATTCATTTCACTGAGGTGACCAAAGACAGGCAGCCAGCCAGCTCTCCAGTGGCATTTGTTCCCTCTTTATGGCACTCATGCTGGTCCCATTTACCAAATGCAATGAAGGCTATATTCCACCCAACACAGATCCTTGGTGGGGCGTAGAAAGGAAGCCTCCTCTGTCTTTCTCAATTCAAAGGCATTTTTCTTAACTCTTTAGCTACGTTGTGGCCTAACAGAATAAACAGTTCATGTTAAGACTTAGGGAACAACTGGATAAGCATATTTGGGAATACAGCCTAGGATTCAGTAGTGAGGACTGTCTTGTGCCAGGAGACCCTCATGCCTTATACCGTCTAATCCTCACAACAACGTTCTAAGGTGGGTTTTTTAATCTGCACTTGATACATAAGGAAACAGAGGAAACATTTGGCTCAGTTGATTCTTCTGCAGAATTTTGGGAACTTCCACTGTGACTTTAAGCAGCTCTTCCACAGACCAAGGGGAAAGAATGGAGGAGTCTGTCCCGAACGTTGACCTGTCCTGAAGGTTCACTCCTGATTGCTGGACCACCTGGCTCCCCTCAGCTTCCTCCCCGGGAAAAAAGCGATCCCATGCTGCTGGCTTTCTTTGGGAATAAGATGTTTCTCGCAACAGAAAATTCTTTCCAAAACTTTATGCTTATTTTAGGAGAGTTGTGTGGATTCCCAGTCATCTTCGCACAGGAAGTCTGATACCCGTGAAGCAAGGATAGACTCATCAAGCAAATTTCAACAACTCTATTGGTCGTTAAAGACTCAGAAAATAAACAAAGAATCAGAGAGGAAAAGTTACACTGGTCCAGAACATTTGTTTTGGGTCATGAAAACATGAGTTTTCAGCAGAAATTTGCTAATCCCTGTGGTATATTTCTCTCATCCACTGTGGAGCTTTCCTATCAGCTCTCATGATTCCAGGGGTCTTTATTCGCCGGCTCTGAAGGTTTCACTACATGCAATTGGGTTTTGTTTCTTGCAACATTTGTTCAATTTAGATTAGCATTTTTGCTTTTTTTCTTTTTTCTCCAAAAATGATCCAAAGAAACTAACACCTGATTCCAAGGATGAAAGCAATACCACTTGGAAATATTTAAGATCTGCTTATAATCCACCTTACACAATACCACATTGGGAAAAATACCTAATTCCATAGAACATCCAAAAGGATATCTGACTTGGTACTAAGCACCTACATGGAAATCAACAAATACACATTAACTCATGTATATTCATCAGGATAATAATGGTAATAATAACAGGCATTTGCAAGGAACTTTGCTTCAAAAGATTTTCACAAATGTCTTTTTAAATGAACCTCAGAATCTCATGGAGAGCTGAGAAGGGGCTGTGTGAACCTACATATCCTGGCTTTGCCACTTGTTTGCTGTGTGACCTGGGCCAGGTTACTGAAGTGATCTGAGCCTCAGCTTTCTCAACTGTAAAACCTGAATGATAATGATAGCTTCCTTGCAGAGTTGATGAGAGACTTCAAGATAACATATGCCAAAGGCACAACAGAGTATCTGGCACATGGCAGGCATTTAGAAGTGGAAATTATTATTATTATAAAGCAGGGCTGATGTAATTATCCCCTCTTACAGTTGAGGCAACTGAGGCTGAAAGAGATTAAATGATTTGACCAGTCACGTCAGCCGCAGGGCCAGAGCTGGGACCAGAACCCAGCTCTTCAACCTGCCAAGGGAAAAAGTTCTCTGTTCTGTTTCAAGACCTGAAGTGTGAAAAGCAGAAATATTGCCAAAACAGGGGTGTTGATCTCTGAATCTTGAAAATAGCTGATCCATGCTTTCAGCAGCAAAGAAGGCAATTAAAATAAAACTCTGTCTCCATGCTAGTGTTCTCAACAGGAAACAAATCTAATTCAAGAGAATTTCTCCTCTCATTTCAATTCAGACAAAATTTTCTAAGGATTTGATGAGTTTTATCTTGACCATCATCTTTTTCCTAACCTACTTTCAAAAATGTACGAATCCCAACTTTTGGTGTGGGTCACCTGGTCTTCAATTAAAGTGAATATAATTTCTGAACAAAACAGACCCAAAAGTAAGAGAAGCTTGCCGCCTGTGGAATGCTGCTGGAGGTCACCTTGTTTAAATACCATTTAACATATGCACCTCATCCCTCGCCAGCAGTAATAAGGGTCATTTGTGGACCTTTCTGTGGTCTCTGATACCTGACAGGTAGAACTTTTTATCTGCTCTTTTTCTTTTCTAGAACTGATCAGTTCTACAATACAGTAGGGATGTCTTCTTCTTGGAACTTCTTTATAATAAGTTCCTATACTCAGCATTATTGACGATAATTTGAGATCTGCCTCCTAAGGTTAGAAAATTTTCAGAAACTTACAGGGACAAAAATTGACGGTGCTCTCTGCAGTGAGCCTAATGGAGCTTCTGTGAAATTGCTGCAATAAGCTAGTGGAGTATCTCTCACACTTCTCTATCTTTTTGATGATGTAGGTAGAATGTCTGGAGTACAGACAGCCATACCAGCATCAATATAAACCCTAGTGAATAAAGTGGAGAGAAAGAGAGTTAGAGAATCCAGGACACTCCCTCCTCGACTTTTTGATGGAAAGCATGCCATGACCTATAGACAGCACACTCTACTTGCTAAAAGAATATCAAGGTTATAAATACTTACTTGACACCCTACCCAGTGCATAATTTAGCCAACAACTGCTCCAAGTTGTTAGTAAATTCTCCTTCCATTTCTTTATCCTTGGTTTTATTTTCTTTGCCTTTATTTTGTCGTTTTGCTTTTTTATCTCTTCGTTTCTTTGGTATTCCTCGCATTCATTTCTATTCCTTCCTTTATCCGTCTGTTCTTTACTATAGGAAAGTACTTTCAGAAGAATCAAGCACTATAGAAATGTCAAGTTGTTGGATCATTATTACTCTTAACATCTTTATTATTTATGTCAAGACATTATTGTCTTTTGCATTCTCACCATTGTATCTACAACTTGTTCCTCCAACTTTTATCTTATCCGGTCTTCTACAGATTTTTCAGAATATGGAGCATAAACATTAGTAATAGAAGCAAACTCAAATATCTTTCTATTCAGGTTTTTGTTTGCTCTGGAGGTACCTAGTGAGTTAGGCAACATTCAGTAAACACCATTTGCAGATACAATTATTGTACTGAAACTACAGAGGCAATTCCAAAGATATGAAAGACATGTTCCTTGATCTTAGTAAGCTTAGAGCCGAGTCGGAGTGACAAGACACGCCATGAGCAATGACAGGGACATCTATAAGATGTGCAGGTAACTGAAGTTCACACAGAGGACCATGTTTGAGTTGGCCAGGTAGAGGTGACAACGTAAGGTTTTCTGAGGGTGAATTTCAAGAGGGAAAAGAAAGATGAGGCATCTAGAGGAATGAGGGCAGTCTGTCTACCCTACCTAGGTTGTTTAATCATTTTCTATAGCCTTTTGCAGTCTCCTAGGGATTATCCCGTTTTCTGGTGCCTTTCTTACTTCCGTTCTGAATATATTATCATTAGCTATTTAGGAACTAAGAAAGCTCTAATACGTCTTACTTTATACAATTTTTTGTTGTTTCGTTTTGTTTTGTTTTTACTTCCGTGATCTTGCATATTACTTTTATATAACTACAGCCTGCTTCTCTAGTTCTTTCAAGTTCTTCAGGTCTTTTCAGGTATTATTTTTAGCATGGCGTGTCAAAGGCAACATTTATTTCAAAAGATTTCTGTGGCATCTGTTGTTCAAGGTATGTGGTATAGCACAGCAGCCTTGAGACTTTATTCCAGCCCTCGCCACACTCTATTTTGTCCCTCAGGCAATTTCATTCTTTCTGCAAAAAAGATCAGGTTACAAACAGCCTCCTCCACGCTCAAATGGGGACGCCAAAGGAGGATGATCCAAATACAGTCTGAATCTGTTAGACAGTTGATCAACTTCAATAAGCTCCAAGCCTGGAATGGAATCGCTTTCACTATCTTTTCCAGCAGGCTGCATCTTCTTTTTCAAATTTATCTGACATTAAAGTTGACGCAGTGACATTTTATTTGAAAGTTAAAATTCATCATGGTAAGAATAAAAGAGGGGATGCTTTTAAACGAGAAGCCAGACCCCCAATACCACAAGAGTTCCTGTCTAATCGTGCTCTTAATACCTGATAGGGGTTGAAACATGGGCTGCAAACTGGAGCGCTCCCCTACTCTGGCCCTCCCCACACAAAAGCGTAAAGTGCGTCACCAGTCGGCTTCTAGGAAACCTGTGTTCTGTTCCAAAACAAAGGATGCAATGTCGGATTCAAATGCCTAAATGAGATTAATATCAATCTTACATTTGCACAAAGCTGTGCTTGATCGATCATTTCTGAAAGCTAACATTTCTCGTGAAGGCGGCATTTGATAACTAGAAGGAGAAAACCAGAGGAAGTGTTGTCAAATGGCTTAGAAAGTGGAAAGTGGGGCAGTGGGAGAAAAGATCAACTTTTTCACAGTGTTTCCCAAAGGCCATTCATGGCAAGGGCCACTTACGGCATTAGCACTGTTCATCAGCCTCCACACACAGCAGGGCTCTCTCTCGGCTGTTTTGGCACATTTTGGAATTTTGTACAATTTGCATGCTTGTTTCCAATCAAGTCAATTTAATAAAGTCCAATTTTCATGCATGTGACTTTGGGTTTTAAGAAAATAACATGAGAGGAAAGCATTTGTCTCACCAGCTATCCCTTTCTCTACCCAGCTCTGCCTTTTGAATAGAGAACGAAGAGCTCCGCATCCCGGGCGGCATTTCAAGGTATGTTTTTCTCCACTAGGAGCCACCGAGCTGAGCCCTTTATGATGGAGCCACGGGGGTTTGCACCGTGCAAGCCAGTGTCACATTTGCGTGCTCTTTTCCTCATAGGTTTCATTCATCAGGCAAGTTCTCAAGGCTCAATGTTGATGGATAGATCCGCCCTGGAGCCAACGTTAAAGCCAGACCTTAGATTTATGAAAATAAAGTAAGCATAGTACTCCAATTACAAATATCTACTTTGAATTCCAATTTACATGTAAAAATCTTCATTCTGTAAATCCTAGCCTTGATTTTCGACTCAGAGAGTTTCCTGATTTGGTCCTTAGCTCCTTTCTCGAGGTGTCATTTTAATTCAGTCCTGCATTCACGCATGTATAAATCTAATTCCACTATCTTATCTAATATTTGTATCTCTTTGCTAGTTAATAGGCTTTGGGAGAGATTAAAAGTCACTCTGCTTGGCTGGGAACCAGCCTGGCAGCAGCTGGAAAGCCCATAGAGCCAAACCAGTTTGCATCATCTTCATCAAAGCTTTCAAAGTACAGACACCTGCTAGCGCCAAAGTGGACTAGGACACTCGCCTCCTGTGCTTACGGTCTCCGGCCCAGGCGCCAAGCTCTGAAAGGTCGCTGAGCAGACACAGGCCAACAGGCAACCAGCATTCCTGGAGTGCCTGCTTCTGCAGAGTAGATAGGAAATGACACAGTTCCTGACCTGGAAGGACAGAACATGTATTCACACACACGTGCACATACTCTTGCACATACATGCACACACACGAGCACATGTATTCATTCTCACCTGTGTACACACATGTACAGATTTACTGCTCATATAGTGGGAAAATACTTGTGCACCCCCAAAAAGAATAAAAATTTAAAAATCAACACAAAAGTACTACCAAGGCTCTGAGGAAGGAAGAGACTATCCCACAAACGCTTCTTTTGCCTTCCAAAGTGAAAAACCAGGGTAACGAAACAAAGAAAAAAGGAGGAGGTGAGTGAATATCTGAAACGAATGGTAAAATCACATCCCCAACAGATAAGAGGAGAAAAGGCTAATGCCAGCAAAGAAGAGCAGACAGCTTGAAATTTAAAAAAAAAAAAAATCCGTGAAAGAACAAAAAGGAGGACACGAGAGAGGCAAGGGTTGGCGAGGGAGCTGAGGACAAAGGTTCAAGCTGAAATGACACCATGGGAAGAAAGGGGCCTGTAACTGAAGAAATATGAAATCACTGAGTTTCCATTTTAACTTTCAGCCAAAACAAGCGATGAGACATTTTGAAATGTAGAAACTAAGAGGAAAGAACAAGACTTCCCTTAGGTAAGTCACAGGCCAAGTGGGACAAAATGCTATTTAACGTTTTTTCTGATTATAAAAACATATGGTCCTTTAGAGAATTTGAAAAATACAGAAAAAAATAAAGAAGGAAAAGAAACACCTACAGTTCCATTACCAAGAGATAACCTCTGTTAACGCATGTTCTTCTAGTCACATATGTGCAAATCCCAATTACACTATAGATTTAGTGACATTTTTTCACACATGTGTTGTCACTGACAGTTTATTATATTAAATCATCTTTTAAAACAACAGCTTTTAGGGGCCAGCCCAGTGGTGCAGCAGTTAAGTTTACATGTTCTGCTTCAGTGGCTTGGGGTTCGCCAGTTCGAATCCCAGGTGTAGACCTAGGCACTGCTTGTCAAGCCATGCTGTGGTAGGCGTCCCACATATAAAGCAGAGAAAGATGGGCATGGATGTTAGCTCAGGGCCAGTCTTCCCCAGCAAAAAGAGGAGGATTGGCAGCAGATGTTAGCTCAGGGTTAATCTTCAAAAAAAAAATCCAAACAGCTTTTAGACATTTACTTTGATTCTTAGTTTTTATATTTTGAACAACAATGGTATGAATATCTTCGTACATAATTTTTTGTCCAATTTTCTAATTACCTCTTTAGAATAGATTCTTGAAGGGCAAATTTGGTACCTGGGTCAAAAGGTATCAGATTTTTTTAGAAATTTTGTAGTAATTTATATTGCCACTGACAGTATAAGCAGGTTTGTTTCACCACACTCTAGCCAACAATGAGCATTTTCTTTAAAAAAAAAAAGACAGTACTCTACCAAATTGATAGGGATGCAAAATACAATGTTAAAGGCACTATTAACCCTAATCCAGTTTACTACTTATGATACAAAGTTGACTTCTGAATATGAACACAAGTTCTTATACTTTTCAGAATCATGAACTCCTTTGAGAATCAGATGAAATCTGTGAAACTTTTCCTATAAAAATGCTCAAACACAGCAAAATAGACCTCTTGGAGCTCATCCTAAAACAATCTCGGACTGACTTTAAACGTCAGACCTAAGTGGAATTTCTGGAACATGAGCTCATTTGTAAACCTAGACCCCAATAATTAGTTTAAGCATGTAGAGCAGCCATGGCTTAGCGGGAAAGGGCTCAACTTGAACCACGGGACTTGGTTTCTGGTTCTAGCTCTATGTCTACACATGCTTAGGTCCTTATCCCATGCCAAGCCTCTAGGATCCTTTCCATCTGTAAATCCCTGGAGCTCTAAGATAAGCGCAACCTTCACTGACATGTTGTAGATATCTGCTCTCTGGACATTCCATGGTTATTCTCTGTATGGGTTCCTTGATGTTCAGGAACAGCCTGGACCTTCTCTGACTCTTTCTATTTGATATCTGCTCCAGGAATACAAATCAACATCAATACTCTTGGTTGCACATATCTCATTGCCTTCCATGGTAGAATGGGAGCTCCTTCAGGGCACAAGCTGTATCTAAGTCAACTGCACCTGACTTACTCGACATATTTAGCAGTTAATGTCTGCTAAAAGAAACTAACCTAAACAAAGGAGAATAGAGTGTCTTCCAAAATTCAATAAAAGTAGTCCCGTTTTATTTGGGTTGACTATAATTCTACAAAATGTCTAAACATACATACTCGTTGGCCATATTTTCAGCTTAAACAAAATGTTTATACAGTTGATTCTTCTTATTCATAATAGTTATATTCTATTAAGTCACTGGGAACACTGAATTAGTGAATACAGTCATGCGCCACCTAATGACATTTTGGTCAATGACAGATGAAATACACAACAAGGTCCCATAAGATTAGTACCATATAGCTTCGTTGTAGGAGAGGGAGAAATTTTCCTCTACCCTTCCAGCTTCTTCTGGCTGGTCTAAGAATTAAATTGACATGAGACAGGTTAACAGGACAAAAACAAACAAAATTTTGATAACATATATACATGGGAGAAACTCGGGAAAACTGAGTAACTTGCCAAAATGGACAAAACCCTCACCTTAAATATCATCCTCAGCTAAAGACAAAAGAAGATTTGGGGGATAGAGAGAGTCAGGGACTTCAAAGGGAAGGAAGGAAATTCACAGGTGGGTGAAAAGGAGTAAACATTTAGAAAACAAGTGTTTGGCCACACAGAAACAGAAGAACACAGAGGTAGCCCAATAAATAGGCTTTTCTACATTCCTCACTGTCTACCACCTAGTTCATGTTATGCTAAGGTGGTAGCTCACTTCCTGAGACAGGTTTTTTTATCTGAATTCTTTTAGGCAGTTAAGGGGGAGGTAACAAGAAAAACTTTCTGAGTCTTTTTTTTCTTAAAGACAGTCAGCCTAAAATAATCCTATGTTAAAGAGACATATTTTGGGGTGGCAAGTTTTCTTCCCCTTCAGTACACTCTATGATGTTCGCACAACAATGAAATTGCCTAATAACGCATTTCTCAGAACATATCCCGTCAGTAAGCAACTCGTAGCTGTACTGAACCACTGCTCCTGGGGGAAATACAGGGTTAGGTTCCTGTGAGCCTCTGGTCACAACATTTTCATCAACCATCCAATACACCACCTTGATTTATGTGTGTTTCTGTCTAAAGATACCTTATTTAATGTATGTTTTTGATTCACTAACATTGAACACATGGCCAATAGCACTATAACTCAGGCATGAACAAAGTTAATCTAACACACATACTTCTTTTGCAAGGCACACTAAGCCTTCTCGCGCTTAGGAAGACTAGACAGCACTTCGGCACTGTACTTGGGGGCCATTTTACAGAGCAAAACCTATAAAACAGCAAGAAGTACAGAAATACAAAAACTGCAGCACTAAATATACCCAGGAAAGGGCATTTGCTTACAAATGAAAGCTGAAACAGGAAGGCAGAACACTGCCTTGATAGAGACTCAGTAAATGCTTGTTGTCTTAGTCATGATTCTCCAGAGAAGCAAAACCAATGGGAGATAGATATATACATACGGATATAGATGGAGACAGAATATATATATTCAGATATATATATACATATTATACATATAGAAAGTTAAATGGCAAAAGTAATAGTTTATCTTAGGCTTTAATAAGTCAATAATGGACGTAATAATTTCTGTTAACCACTAAAAGCATAGAAAAGATTTATAACTGCCAAGCAAATAGATGGGGAAAAGTAGATAATAATAATAATTTTTTTAAACTTCAAATGAAAAGAAAGTGAAAAAGAAGAAAAGGGGGACAGAAAAGATGAAGCAAATGGGGAACAAATAATAAGATGATAGATTTAAACTCAGATATATCAATGATTACATAAGGCACAAACAGATTAAATATTTCAATTAAAAAACAAAAATTGGTAGGCTGTATTAAACAAAAACTATATGTGCTTATAAGAGCCATTCCTTGGGGGGCTGGCCCAGTGGTACAGTGGTTAAGTGCGCATGTTCCGCTTCGGCTGCCCGGGGTTCGTAGGTTCGGATCCTGGGCACGGGCGTGGCACTGCTTGGCAAGCCATGCTGTGGTAGGCGTCCCACATATAAAGTAGAGGAAGATGGGCATGGATGTTAGCTCAGGGCCAGTCTTCCTCAGAAAAAAGAGGAGGATTGGCAGCAGTTAGCTCAGGGCTAAACTTCCCCCCGCAAAATTTTTTTTTAATTTAAAAAATTAAAAAAAATATTTTTAAAAGAGCCATTCCTTAAATAAAAGGATATAGAAATATTGAAGGTGAAAGGACAGAAAACAAACAAACAAACAAAGCAAAGCTGAGGTCACCATATTCTTATCAGATGTAATAAACAGAAAAATGATCAGTAATTACAGAGAAAATATGAACAATATGATTCAAAAACTTTATTTAATTCACATATATAGAACACAGCCCTAAAAACAGCAGAATATATATTCTTTTTAAGTGACTACAGTGGAATTAAGCTAGAAATAAAGAACGAAAAGATAACTCGGAAATCCCCATATGTTTGGAAATTCAGTAATACATTTATAAAGAACACTTAGATCAAAGAAGAACTCTCAACAGAAATGTAAAAACATTTTGAACTAAATAAAAATGAAAATCCTACAAAGAAAAATCTGTGTGATATAGCTAAACTGACCCTAGAGGGATATTTGTAGTCTAGCTGTATATTTGGGGTAAGAAAAAAAGCCTGAAAATCAGTTATCTTAGGATCTATCTCAAGAGCTTATATAAGAACAGCAAGTTAAACCCAAAGAAGAGACAGAAAGAAATGATAAAAAATATGAATAGAAACTAATGGAAAATTTTTTAAAATACAGTAGAGCGTACCAATGAAGCCTAATAAAAGACTAACAAAACTGATAAGCCCTTAGTGAGACTGACCAAGGAAGAAATAAGATAAGAAAAATCACAAATATCCAATATCTACTCCTCAACTCATATTATGAGGCTAGCGTAACCTTGATACCAAAACCTGACAAAGTTATTAAAAGAAAAGAAATTTCAGGTCAGACTCTCTCGTGTGATAAATGCAAAAATCTTAAATAAAACATTAACAAATATTGACAGTAATATAGTACACCATGGGTAAGTTCAGTTTATCCCAGGAATGCAAGGTTAATTTAACATTCAAACTATCAATTCTTTGTAGCTAACCAGATTAATAGAATGAAAGAGAAATCTCTATCATCTTGATAGATTCAGAAAGAGCATTTGATAAAAATTTAACATCTAGGAATCTAATAACGAATATTTACAAAAAAATTTAAAACGCCACACCAAACTTCACTTTTAATACTGTAATGTCGAAAACTTTTCCTTTGAGATTAGGAAAGAGAAAAAAATATTTGCCATCACCATTTCTATTCAACACTGTCCTGGAAGGCCCAGACAAAGGACAAAGGCAAAGAAAAACAAACAAACAAACAAAAGACATAGGATTGGAAAATGATAAATAAAGATATCAACATTTCTAGATAATATGACTTTGTTATTCAAAAGAATCTATAAAGTATTTGAACTAGTCAGGGAGTTTTGCAAGTTGGCTGCGTAGAAAAATCAATTGTATTTCTGGTACTAGCAACAGGATTAAAATTTACAAAACTACATTATTTTCAATAGCATCAAAAATGTCAAATATATAGAAATATACCTAACAAAACATGTATAAGACCAGCATTGTGGGCTATTTTTCTATCTTTGTGTCAATATTGACTGTCTTAATTATTACATTGTATAATAGGTATCAATATCTGACAGAGTACGTTTTCACTCCTCGTTCTTTTTCTTTAGAGCTCTATTGGCCATTCTTAGCTAATTATATTTCCACATAAATTTTAGAATAAGAATGTGAGTCTCCATTAAAAAAATAAAGACTGCTGGCATTTTGATTGTGATAACATTGACTTTATGGTGGAACTGACATTATGACTGACAGACATATATATAAAATCTTTCCATCCATGAGCATGGTATAGCCCTCCATTTATTCAGATTTCCTTTAATTTCTTTCAAAAATGTTTTCTAAATTTCTAATGTATGGCATCAGAAATCAGGAGAGTGTTTTCTTTGGGGGAATTAAGAGAGAATAGTTATTAGGAAAGAGCAGAAGGGGAAGGAGGAATTACGTTTTGCAGATTATGTACCAGTTCTTGACGTGAGTTTCCTTTTTTAAAAATCAAGATAAGAAGAAGTAAGTCCCTCAAATGCCACTGAGATGGCCACAGCCCTCTTTCATGCATGGAAGGTGAACAGTCTAGCAGACCTTGAGGCAACCACTGGATAGCACTCTAGATCAGGGCCTTTCAAACTGCAGATTGTGTGTTTAGTGAGTTACAGACAGCCTTATTTTCAATCCAATAGAAATTATCAAAGTGTGTAGCGCGCAGTAAGATGAAGCGTTGTGTCATGATAGTTTTGCTTAAGCTATATACACACATAGCCACACATGAATATATGTATATGTATATGGAGATTGTGATGTAAAAGTCTGTTTCTTATTGTTGACTGCCGTCAAAAATATTTGAAAAATCATGCTCTGGAAACTATTTTCCAACAGAATTCCAAGTGTCAGTAAATGTTATAACACCTGGTACATACCATAGCATGTGTTTTGTAGCTATATCATTTTTGCTTTAGCGCAGATGTAAACCTTAGATTTGTGAATATTTGTGATGGAATAGAATTGAATTAGTTGATGGTGAACTGTAGGTTCTCAATGAGTGAGTTAATTGGGGAAGAAATTAACTATGAGAACAACAATATTCTCCATGAAAGTAACCAGAGTTCAGTGACAACTGAACTTTAGCTCAGTTTAGTAACAACTGAGCTTTAGCTCAAGGAGGATATTAGAAGCTCAAGGAGAGGATTAAAAGGGGCAGAAGGGGCTGCAGAGGCAGTGAGTGAAGATAAAGGACAGCTGTCTGAGGGGGCATTTCTTCGTGTCTCCTCTTGGCTCCCATCTACTGGTCCCCTTCTGAAACCCATCCCTGAGCCATAGTCTTTTTTCCTTTTTACCTGCTTTGGTCTTCCAACTTCTCCCTCAGTGACTCAACAGTCACCCTGCCACCACATCTGGCTCTCCATCATTTCCCTCGAGAACCACCCTGGCAATGTCCTCTCCCAGGTCTCTGGTTCAGGACCACCGTCCCCTTTATGATGTCTCCCAGCCAACCTGAGCTGGCATTTAGGCAAAAAATATGAGAAGGAGAGCAGCTTTAACCCACACTCCTGGACTTCTACTGCCTCAACTAAAAGAAATCCTGTTGGTCAAACATCTCCATATGGCATAGCACTTAGTAAAAGAGATGAGAATTATAGCGAAAATAATGAAAATTTCACATTTATTGAGCATCTATTTTATGCCAGGCACTGTTCCAAGCATTTTACATGAATTAACTCATTTAATTTTCACAGTAACACTGAGGTACGTAATGTTATCCCCATTTTGCAGATGAGGAAAATGAGGCACAGAGTTTTTAAGTAACTGGCACATAGTCTCACAGCTAAACAGTTGTGGAGTCTATAGAAAGAAAAGAACTAAGAGCAAACTATGAAGCAACTAAGAAAGAAGAGAATATTGGATTATCTTCTTGCAAAGTGGAATTCTACGAGGGTAACTTTAATTTGCTTTAGTTAGAACTACAAGAGTTCACACAAACTCAAGGCAGATAGATGCTTGGACTCCGATTGCCTTTCTCTGTCAACTTTTGTGTGGCGTTTGTGGAAATGTCCAAGGTCAATCTCGGAGAGTTTTTTCCTTAAGAAAGTCACTGCTCTTGTAGCTTCCAAACTAGAGTCCTCGTAAGGAAATGTTGAAAAGTTTCTAGGGACTCACCAGGACACTAGTCCACAAGTCAAGCAGCGTTAGCATCTGCTGACTAAAACTCACCCTATTTACTGAGACATGTCAGTCCCCTGCCTTATTTTGGGAAACTCAGCAAAAAGGCTGGTAGACAGAAGGTACTTTGAAGATCAACAAAATTAGCCGTTTACCCATGCATCCAAAATCACTGGGGGGAAAAAATGTCATCAAAATCCCAAAGCCAGTGAAATACGCACTCCAGAATTGGAGCTCACATCAAATAGCTGGGCTAAACACTGATGAATAGATAATGGTTTCTCCACCAACCTTTTCAAGGAACTAACAAAATGGCTCAAAGTTGGGAAGACAGGAAGAAGACAGAGGGGTATGACTAGCTCTTCCTGGCAAATCTGAGGTACTTATTGAAAAAAGAGAGGGAACTTCCAGCCTGACATTTAAATTGTGCCTATGGGATGTATACTGTCCCATTAGAGCCCAGACCTAAATTTAGTAGTTCAAAAAGAACGAAGTCTCTCCTTTTACCCATTTCCAAATGCCAGCTGAGAACTCATTTCTCAGACCCTTTTCATCCACAAGAAAGCCCTGAGAACTTTTAAAAAATTTAAGAACAAAAAGGTCAGAAAGTTAAAACGCACTACACAGTCTCTCCTCCTTCCTAAAATGGCCATTTGGTCAAAATCCACGATAATGTAAGAGTTAAAATTTTGCACTGTTTAAGAACAACCAGTTGACCTTTAAATACGCTGGTTTGAATCCAATCACCTTTCAACAAGTATGAAATCTGGCACAAGGCGGACTAACACACACCGATTATTTTCATAGTGTACATGACTGAGCTCACAGCGTCCTGCTTAGAAAAAAAAATAAACATTCACTTTCCAAAAGCCAGACTTAGAGGCTGAGTGTCTCTGTTGGTAGGATTGTCCCTTGGTAACTGTCTGAGACGGACTTTCCCTGAAAAAGCACAGCTCCTTAAAGAAAATAACTTTTTCATGTTGTTTAAATTCTGTTTTATGAAATTATTTCCCCCAACTTTTAGTACATAAAAAGTAAAAATAGCTGGAAAATAATTAATCACTACTCTCCGTGAAGAACTGTGCAGGCCATATATGTCAGAGAAAACTTGCTCTGCCCGGTGCAAGGGCGAAACACTGAATCCTGCTTTGAGCAAATGCGTTAAAATGCAGAGATTCTGAACCGATTGTCGAGCGTCTACTCCCTAAAATGATTCTTTGCTTTTCAAAAGTGATTCCCATGAAGTTCTTTTAAGTGGTGATATTCCCTCATGTCCCCAAAACAGAATTCAGTTTACAAAAATTCTCTCACAGGCTTTTTAGAACACGTGGCGTGTCTGTTTTGGTGTGATGTGCAGAGACAGGAGCCCTCTCTGGAGGACTGTGCCTTGCAGCCTGGCGGCCTCTGGTCAATTGCCAGATTACGTTCTTTAGCACTTCCTTTGTTCTCTGTCTCCAGGCCCCCTCTCTTCCCACCCCATTTCCCTCAGCCAGTTACATGGAATATAAACCCCACACCCGGACCATAATCGAGCCGGAGTGTGTTTTTTCTTTGTTTAATCCCTTGCTCTAGGACGGAGACTTCCGAGATTCCTTCCAAATCTCAAAATCCTCCTCTCTCAGCATCTTGCTCCAGTGAGAGACTTCTACCGGCCGTGACCATGTTTGCCAGCCCATCCTTGCCACAATATTGGTTTTCCTCATTCACTCCCTGTCATGTGTGAGTGAGTCCAGAAAGACAACAGCAGGATCTCATAGCAACGTGGGCAGCAGCCCGGGGCCAGCACCCAGATTATCACCCTCCTTGCCACTTCTGCTTTGGGTATAAAGAGGGAGGGGCTTGACTCAGGAAGAAAGGGCACCGCCTGGCTTAGATTTTGCTCACAGAGAGCATCAGGAAAACGTCTGCCAGCCCGAGGCCCTGGCACATAAGGTCCCTTGAAGTTAACTGTCAGGACAATTTGGTTACATGTATATTCCTGAGGATTCCTCTGAAACGAAAGGAACCCTCTTAGAGCCCTGGCCAAATGGGGTCATTCCACAGATGTGCCAGGTGAAACGGGCAGCCAAGCCTTCCACGGGCCTCATTCGCTGCCCCTGTCCTAATTCTCACTCATTCCTGAGAAGCAGAGGTCCCTCCCCAGCTTCTTCTAAGCAGCCATTAACTCCAAGCCCTTTCTCCTACCCCTGGGATTTATTTGATGTTAAAGTCCAGATACTCATCATCGACCCCATCTCACAATTGATTTCCCACCGTCCATTTGTCTTGCCAGGATCTGGGGAGCCGGGGAAATGCAAGTGTTACCATCCTCAGTTCAACAACCAACAGAAAAACTCATGTCACCTAAGTACAAGGTGTGAACTACTGCCAGACCCGCACCTGACTTTTTAGTTATTCTCCTTGCATGCAGTGAATGACTCTCTTGGTCACATCGTCCTAAAGTCTGTGACACAAAAGGAGACCTATACGCTTGAAGAATTGCACAGCGATATATTTACTTAGCATTCTTTATTTCGCTAATCAGGGTACACAATTCTATAGTAGATGAGGTCTGTTCAGGCTTCTCAGCCCAGCCACCACTTCCCTTCCTCTCTGTCAGCATCCTGCACCCTACAATCTCCACCAGAAGAGCGATGTGGGATTGGGAAAAAGAAAGCACAAGAGACCTGAAGACAGAAGGCTGAGGATTCAGTCTCAGCATTGTGATTAACTGAGTGATTCTGGCCAAGTCACTACAATTCACTGAAACCTCTCCCCTTCTGTAAAGTGGGGATGACGATATCCACCTCACAGGATGCAATGAAGGAAGCAATAAGATAATGAAAGTGAACATAATGTTTCATTACAAAGAAAGAAAGAGGGAAAGAGGAGAGAGGAAGGGAGGCGAAACTGAAGAGACCTTCCTCCCTCACCCTTTCACACTAGCAGGTAAAGTAAAATGTTCAGACAGGAAACCTAAAGTAGATAATCCAAAATACAGTATTCTTAGGAACTGTCAATGGCAGAAGCCACTGCAATCTCCAAATCTGGTCAAGAGCTCATTCTGAGCACCATGTTTTGAACCCCCGAGTGCCTGGAACACTGCACTGAACCTCTGGGACTGACCTGCAGGAAAAGACCAAAAGCTTCCTCGTTTCACTCCCTTAGTATAAAGACAGGAGCAGCTGAAGGACACACCTCAAGAGCAGGGTGAGACAGACACCCCAGACCGTGAACTTACTTTATCCCCATGACAGATCAACTTCAGGAGAAAATTCCAGCTTTGTGCTTGCTGCTTGGTCCCACTCAGATGGGAAGTTCTGCTCAGAGGCCCGAAATAGAAACCAGGAAGTCAACAGAACTGATTTCCCTAACTCCCCAAATGCAAATCACTGCCCTCAGTATGGATGAGAATTACGGCGAGGTGTAAACCTCCTTCTTGAAAGGAGGCCACATGCTGACTGTGTACAGAAAACATCCTACTCCAGGGAAGAGAAGAGCCATCCATCGGCTTCCTTCCGTAATAAAGAGGAAAGCAGAGCTGAACTGACAGTGAAGCTGAGGCTACCCAGGTGTTCCCATCAGAACCAAACTGCCACTAGGAATAATCAAGTGCCCCACTTTGATGCTCAGACACTATTCTCTGAGCTGGTTCCTCTAAAGACACTTTTCTTGAAGGGAGCATTTACTAAAGCAGCTCCCCTCCCAACTTCCTCATTACCACTTATGATAGCAACATTTTCTTAGAGTCCTGTGTTTGAAACTTGCAAGTTGAAACACATAGCTCCACCCCCATACGTGCCCCTTTAGTCAGTTTCTACTCTATGCTATCATTTCCGGCTCGTGTGCATCAGGCACAAATTCAGCCAGTTCTCCTATCACAGCTCGACTCCAGCTTGCCACACCTTGCCACTTCCTCAGCCCCTCTGGTCTGGATCCTCAGCACCCTAGTCTTCCTGCCTGCTCTCTTTCACAAGACTGCCAGATGAATATTCCCAGCATACTGATGGTTCACATTATGCCCCTGCTCCAAGGTCTGCTGCAGCTCCCTAGTACCTACTGACCAAATCAAAATAGCTCACTAGTGATCTCGCCACAGCTTAGGCAGCAGGTTGTAGGAAAAAGTGCCTGAGCCTGGGTGCCAGACGGATTGGGTAAGAATCCATCTTAGGTAAGCTTTATCACTAAGTGGCTATGTGAATCTGAGCAAATTATGAAACCTCTCTGCACTTCAGTTTCCTCATTTGCGGAATGAAGATAATAACACCTACCTACATAGTGATTAAGGATTAAATGGGATAACACGTACAAAGCAGTCCTAGTGGGTTTCAATAAGAAGAGTAATTAATGCTTACGGAGTGCTTACTCCATTCCAGGCTCTGTTCTGAGGGTTGTACATGTGTTTACCCAGGTGTTATTATTATCCTCGTTTTGCAGAAGAGGAAATTGAGGCAAGAGAAAGTGAAGTCACTGAAACCACATAACAAATCAGTAGAAGAGCCAGCGTTTGAACTCGAGCAGTCTGACTTCAGAGCCGGCACAGCCTGGCTTTCCTGCCTCCTGTGCAGGCTACTTCCCCCTCCCTCCGGCTTTTACTGGCTAACACAGCCCACATGTCCACCCCAGACCTCCCCATCCACCCAGACTTCGCTCCACATTCCAGCCTTCCCTGATGGATGCCATGCTGCATTTTCTCTCCAATCTCACCTGACATCTTGAAAGGAGCAGTTACCGTATTTTCTCTACACCCAAGTATAGTAATCTCTCTACTCTTTACCTTGCCTTCATTTATACATCAGCTTGTGGGTCTTCTCCAGTTCTTTCTGTAATCTTTTCCTAGAAACTACATCAGAAAAATAGAATACATTCTCAAATTCCACCATGTTCCAAGAAAAATCATGTTATTTCCACCAACATCGCAGCTGCCATTACCAAGCTAAATCTCCTGACTTCCATTCAACTTACCCAGCAAACCTTTACCGAGCATCTGCCATCATCGTCTCAGGAGATGAAGATTCCACTGGCCCTGTCCTCTAGGAGCTCACTGTCTAATGAGGAGATCAATGTTTACGTAGAAAATTTTAATATGTTGTGCTAAGTATGAAATGCATGCTGTTAATGGCATCTCCATCTTTGGCTCTTCTGACCTGCATTTCCCATGTTGTGTCATTTACTAAGGCTGTCACACTGCCCTTTCCTTTTCGTCTCTGCTGCCACCCCATGGTTCACTTGCTCCCTGCCTTGTTCCTGAACTCTTGCTATCACCTCGCAACTTATCTCACTGTCTCATTCTCCTGCCCCTTAAAACCAGCCCACCTCCTGCTGCCAAATGACCTATGCTGTCACTCTCATACTCAAAAACCAGAGGTTGGTGAACCAAGTGCAAAGCTCTGAACAGGCAAAGCTGCCTGGGAATTTACCTGACTTTCTCTCCTTGCTTTGCTCCATTCCCTCCACACACATGCACTTCAGCTCACACACCACACCTAAGAGAGACTTCTTTCAGTTTCCAAAAATGATTCACCTTCCTGTTTCCTATTGTCCCTTTGCACACCCTGCCCTCCCACCCTATCAGCTCATTTTTATCTCTGAAATTCAGATGTTCCTCCAAGGTTCAGGTCAAGTCACCTCCTCCCTGAAGCCTTCTCTCATTCTCCCACAATGTGTGATAGTTCCCTTCTCTGATTTGCTCTAGTCATGCATTGGTATCTCCTTTAGGGCACTTTCATTCTTTCTTGCACTACAGTCATTTGTATGTTTTATCTTATGGTTTCTGTATCTTTAGGACAGTCCTGTGTCTTTATCATCTTTGTTCAATACAGCACCTAACAGATTGCCTTGAGCATAAAATGTGCTGAATAAATAATGAATATGCTCTTTATTTTTTGTATGTGATACAGTAGGAGAAACATCTCACGGGGACCCAAGAAGAAACCCAAGTTTTTCTTTTTTATTATCATCTAATCATTTAGCCAACAAATCTTTTTTCATCCCTAGGCAATATGTTACGCACCAAGGGTACAAGTATAAAGACACAAAGGCCTGCACTCAATAAATGAACATTCTCTATCAGATAATACAAATAAACAATACAAATAAAAGGATAAGATTCATGCAAAATAATATCACAAAATTTGCAAAATTGCAAAATTATGGCATTTCTACCACCAACTAGATGTGTGATCTTGCACAAATCAAGTGTTGATAAACATACAATGAAAACTCAAAGGCAGGTTATGAGTTTATGATTCTAACCACTGTATGGCCTGCTTTGCTAATAGATGTCACTTCTGTGTTAATGCCAATATATTTGCAAAAATTTTTAATGCTAACTCTAGAGAAATCGAGTAAGCAGCAACTAAAGAAAGGTAAAAACAGCAGCTGAAATTGATATTTAGACAATGAAAAGAATGCATTATACGTGCTTCACCAGCATCATTAGGTGAATAAACCAGTGAAATTCAAGGTTGTGAAATGCTGGGTACATGTATTTGGGCTCCTCCATCAGCACGTGCCTGAGGCCTACCGTGAGATGCCCGCCTCTGCCAAATCCCCAAAATGGAAATTAGATCACCCTCCGAGGTCCATGATTTAAACTATTTAAAAATTAATAATCACAATTGACATATATTTTGTCCCCTTAAAGAGCAGCAATGGCCCCCAGATAAGTAGAATTTGCCTTATATAGATGGTCCCTAACTTAGAATGGTTCAACTTACAATTTGTCGACTTCACGATGGTGCAAAAGCAATACGTATTCAGTAGAAACCGTACTTCGAATTTTGAATTTTGGTCTTTTCTTGGGCTAGCAATATGCGGTAGGATGGTCTCTTGTGATGCTGAGCAGTGGCAGCGAACCACAGCTCCCGGTCAGCCATGGATCACGAGGATGAACAACTGATACGCTAACAACCATTCTGTACCCCTACAATCATTCTGTTTTTCCCTTTCCATACAGTTTTCAATAACTTACATGACATATTCAACACTTTATTATAAAATAGGCTTTGTGTTAGATGATTTTGCCCAACTGTAGGCTAATGTAAGTGTTCTAAGCACGTTAGATTGAGCAGGTTAGATGTATTAAACGGATTTTCAACTTATGATATTTTCAACTTATAATGGGTTTATCGGGACCTAACCCCACCGTAAGTCAAGGAAGATCTATAATACAATTGAAAACACATCTTTTTAAAAAACGACTCAGCAACAAACGTGGTTATCGCTCATATAATCAAAGGAAAGTGAGACCCTAAGGGAAATGTGGATAGTGCTCACCCAAGCTCTCTCCAGGTGAAGAGGAGTCTTCACCAGCAGATTTTGAGTTTAACATCTCTTGGCCAAGGCTATCCCCAAAATAGAGGTGAATGCCCACTTTACCCCAGCATAGAACATACAGGTCATTTAATGGACTCCTCTAGCTCTGATTCTGTGCTCATCAGGCCCGGGTAACGCTTGATTTGCTATAAAGTTTATCTGTTGGAATAGAATATAATGGTAAAGCTGATGAGTATTTTGGTTTCTGGGACAGTTGTCTTTTTCACTGGAAATTATTATGTCATTCTCTCACTGACACATCAGCCTCATTAGGTCACTAATATGAGTCCCCACTAAGAAGCAGATGCCCTCTCAGTAGGCTCACCAAGTCAAGGTTCTGGACCGGAAAGGCTGAGTTCTAAATCTCAGACCTTGGAAAAATCTGCAGCAAAAGCATCCTGCAGGAGCTCCAGAAAGACAACTGGATGCCCTTCTCTTAGAGACTTACTTCCCCATCACACGTGCCATGTACCTTTTCTCCACACTCTTCTAGTTGGTACTTAAATTAGGTAACAACCAGGTTTCCTTTTCCTTGAGCACCATGGAGCCTAGCTGGGAACAATGCTCCAGCGGGCATGAGAGATGCTCTCCCCTGGGCTCCCATATTCCGCACTAGTATGTACCACTCGGGATTGGAAATGCATGATGCAAGTCAGCCTCCCCACCATGATGTGGGCAAGGACTTCTTTTTGCTCATCTCTGTATCCGCGCACCTAGTGCCTGGCCCATCAAAGGTATTCAATAGATGCTGGGGAATGAGGCAATCAGTGAGTATCATCAAGAACTTACCGAAGATTTACAGATGCTAAATGTAGAACTACAAATGGTGTCATTCCTATTCTCAAGAAAAATCAATGAAAAACTTAAGACTTAAACTATGAACCATGATTTGCTCTTAGGTATGGGTCATTATCAAAGAAAAACT